TTCTGACCACTGCTAATGTAATAGAGTTCTGGACGTGAATGTTAACTCTAGCATAACTGAATCAGAAGTTTTCACTGATTCTTGTAAGGCATTATTATTGAACTTCACGATCGTATTAATTATTCACCATTCTTGCTGCCGTACAATTTCGAGCAAGTGATACTAACTGAGAATTTGATAATTTACTGGGTAATTAGTGAACTTGTGAGAAATTAAATATGAATCACTTCTAGGAATGAAATGGTTGATATTTTTTTTTAGTAATAGTCTCTGTAAACAGCAGACCATGTCCACTAAAATCCTCCCATTTTGGCATGAAAATGCCTGTTTACATGTACCAGGAGCAGGGTTGGTGAGCAGGGTTGGCGTAGTGGTGAGAGCGCTCGCCTTCCACCAATGTGTCCCGGGTTCGATTCCCGGACCCGGCGTCATAAGTGGATTGAGTTTGTTGGTTCTCTACTCTACTCCGAGAGGTTTTTCTCCGGGTACTCTGGTTTTCCCCTCGATCTCCTCAAAAACCATCATCATTTGAATTTATTTAATTTAGAGTTTATTTAGATTTACACACGACCCCACAAGCTGTTCAGCTTTAAACATTATCGTGTCTAAATAAAGGTGTTATTATTATTATTACCAGTACTACACAAATGCCTAATACTTCTTAAAAATATCATTACTCCTATATTTTTCAGTATTCAAAATGATTCATTCTTTATCATACAGGTCTCTAGTCAATCTGTTTGTATTAACTTTTTTACGAACTAACTGAGTGTGAGGGTTATAGTAAGGAGGATTGGCCGAAGGTCACGACAGAGTCTGAGCGCAGCAGGGTCTGAGTGCAGCAGGGTCTGTACGAAAATGACCGAGGGTCAATATTTCTCAGTACAGCTTGAGCAAGTGATTTTAGTGAGTAGTTTATACTGGCACCTGGACCAAACTTGCTGGAATTTGCTACCAAAATACATCGCTTGTGACCGTTTCTTCGGAAACCGTTTGTGTAGCAAAATTTGGACCAAGAAAGGACCAGTAAGAATAACCATTTTCTTGTTGTTATAGAGGACAAACTATTATTCAAGTGGCTTCCTTGGGTGAGATCACATTAAATGTCCATGGACTGCCAGCCAGTGCTTCACCATTTGATCTCTACAGAGACCTTGTAGTTGCCACTACTTTGCAGGGTGCAAGTCACTTTGTATCTACCATCCTGATTGTCTTCTATTTTGGTATGTAACTCTTCCTCTGTAGGCGTGAAAATGTGGACAACAACCCGATCATCTTCACAATAGATACTCTCTCCATCTCGATCTCTTGTGATGATTATGAAGCAAATCACCTTCCCTTCCCTTGCTGTCTTTGAGAAGTTTCCCTCGGGCACAGATCTTGTTGAGTATGTGGAACGAACAACAACTTTGCCCAAGCTACCCTTCAATACTTCAGTGAATTCCTCATTTGGACATAATCAACATGAAGTGGTTCAAAACTGTCTTCATCTTCAACTTGTAAAGTCTGTCCAAATTGTTCCCTAAAGGTAAGGTGCTTGTCTAGAGCGGGAAGGGGCAATTCACTTTGCAACACAGTTTCCCCATAAGAAAGAAAATCTTTTAACATTGCTACTAGTAAACGCGGTTCATTTTTCTCTTGCTGCTCCTTAAACGCACTCTTATTTTCATTTCCCAGGTTTTGTAATATTTCAAGGGCTTCCTGTTCATACAACCTCAGTTTCATGAAAAGTTCTTCCACGTTCTTGTGTACCTCCTCTTCCACTGCCTTGATATTGCGCTCCATTGTTAGAGCACCCTTTTTACGTCTCTCAATTTCTGTTTCACAGTCATTTAATACATTCTTAAGCTTCTCAACAGAATCCATTATTGTAAGAAATAGACAACTTTTTTGAGAGACATGTTTCGGCATGCTTATGCCATCTTCAATCAATGAGTAACAGAACTTGAGTAATTATATAACAGACAAGTAGATGAATGAAATATTACAGTATGATGTAATACAAAAGCAGTTACTAATTACAACGTGACACCAAACATCAAAGGTGTGAACTAAAACGCTAGGAAAGTGTTATAATGCTGTAATTGTTTGTTAAGTTCAGGTTTGATCTTATTTATATAAAAAGTTTCTTTCAGTTCTAAATCAATTGAGTTGTTAGCAGAATCCAGAATACTAAAGCAAGAAAGGGAGTATTTGTTCTTACAAGAAGGAGATGTGTTGAAATGCTTAAAAGTATGCGAGTTTTTATCGCTTTCCGTGTGCTCCTTTATCGTCGTGGAGAAGTGGCGACTAGTTTCGCCGATATAACGGGAATTACATACCGCACAAGAAAATTGATAAACTACCATGGATTTTAGAGCATCAGAAGTACGATCTTTAACAATGAACATGTTTTTAATTTTAAAAGAAGTGAAAACTAGTTTGATATTTAGGTCCGATTTACAAAAGCGATGAGTGAGTTGTCGGCCGAGTTTGAGGTTCGCTATTTTAGAATAATAGCTGACAAAAGGGAGTTTAAAGTAACGTTCCGGCTATTTTGAGAGGAGGACCCGTTAAGATACCGCTTGAAAGTTCTTTCCATAATATGCGAAGGAAAAGAATTACGTTTTAAAGTATCGGAAAGTTTAAACTCTCCTTTCTTGATATATTTCTCGACAACTCTTCGAATGATTTTGTTTTTTCAGTTTTTCATAAAAAAACCTACACTGGTCTCCTAACAAATTTCTTTAGTTTTATTCCATCGTGCTACAAAATTGGCCTTATCCGAACTCTTATTGACCGTATCTACAAAATCAACAACACCCTCCGGCCTTCAAAACGATCTTAAGAAACTTTCCGACACTTTAAAATGATGCTCTAAAATCCATGGTAGTTTATCAATTTTCTTGTCCGGTATGTAATTCCCGTTATATTGGCGAAACTAGTCGCCACTTCTCTACTACGATAAAGGAGCACACGGAAAGCGATAAAAATTCGCATATTTTTAAGCATTTCAACACATCTCCTTCTTGTAAGAACAAATACTCCCTTTCTTGCTTTAGCATTCTGGACTCTGCTAACTACTCAATTGATTTAAAACTCAAAGAAGCTTTTTATATAAATAAGATCAAACCTGAACTTAACAAACAATTACAGCATTATAACATTTTCCTAGCGTTTTAGTTCACATCTTTGATGTTTGGTGTCACGTTGTAATTAGTACCCGCTTTTGTATTACATCATACTGTAACTGAAATACTTTATTCATCTACTTGTCTGTTATGTAATTACTCAAGTTCTGTTACTCATTGATTGAAGATGGCATAAGCATGCCAAAACATGTCTCTCAAAAAAGTTGTCTATTTGTTACAATATTTATCATACTTGCTACTACTACGACCTTATAGAATCCATTATGTTAACTTTGCTTTTCCTTAAGGCTCGCTCGATGTCTTCGACATTATGAGTGTTACGTATGATGCACGATCCTCACAGTAGAGAGCACTATTTATGCAATAGCGAAAATCAGACCTGAAAAAAATTCAGGCCTGTATTAGTATCGCAGAGGTCAGTGGTTCGAATCCCGTACAGGCCTGAATTTTTTTTTTCAGGTCTGATTTTCGCTATTGCATAAATAGCGCTCTCTACTGCGAGGATCGTGCATCATACACATCTAATACCGCAGTTCAAAATATATGAACTTCATATATTCATTGTATCTGATTATGAGTGTTGCGGAAATCATTCACACACAGTTTGCAAATGCAGACTTTGCAGTCGGGACAATAAAATTCGACGACTTCCTTTCCGTGTTTTTCTGTTTTACACATAACAGGTTGGTTATGTGTAAAACTTGGTTGGGCAGTCGCCATTTTGCGACTTTTCCCGCTTTTCGATCACTTGTTACCAGGCCCTTTAGGGCGCAACAGTCCTCACCCCTCCCTACTTGGTCGCCCAAGAGTTTCAAAGTCACTTCACCACCAGGGCGGAAAAATTTTAAATGTTCACATTTTTATCCATTTAATGTAGATAGTTTTTTTTTTTTTGGGTTGTAATTTATAAGAAAAAAGGGCAAAAACTTTTGGCGTGCACCTCATACTTGCACTCTCGTAAGCGCACTCTCAAGGCTTTGGGTTGGACTCTAGGTTTGATAACAACGCTAGAAGTGTGGCAAAAAGAAATAGCTAAAAATGGATAAAAACATTTCCTAATTTTTTTAAGATAGCCAACGAACATATCTAACCCTGCTTCGTCATGGAGTACGTCTGTTCAAGCAAGTGGACGAAGTGACCCAGTCGCATAAGAAAGCTTTAGTTTTAGTTATTCTAGTCTTGGCTGACGGAAAAAATATAAGAACGAAATGGGAAATAACTATCATTTACGAGATGGATAGACAAAGTTCAAAAAAAAAAAAGCATACGAACAAAATAAGACAAAACAAAATGCAGCATTTGCGGCTGGAAAATAAGTTAACTGGGAAACCTTATTCTATTTGGGGTTGATTGAACGTACAAGATTGTGCTACTGTTCGGTTAAATACCGAAAGAACTACGGGATTGCGTCGGTTTTACTCTCTGATCAACTAACTGAGAGGAAGCCACTGCAAGTTCTCTAGCATGCATCCAATCAAATGAAAAATTGCCCCCAAAAAGACTCGACCATCAGCGGTTTCCCGGGCCGCGCCAAAGGCCGTTGACATGAATTTTCTGTGAGTCCTGATTAGCTCAGTCAGCGACATTTATCTTTACCTACTGTTGTATTTACTTTGATTTAGAATTGACCTTTTCACTCCGACGATCTGATATCTGATTCTCCTTACTAACGGTGCTCATTTCATTGATGTCTCGTCTTAGAACTTGTATCCTTGTTGATAACTTTCTCAATTCTCATCACCTGTCGCCTGATAATGTTTTAAAATCGTAGGAGGAATTGGCATACTGATCACTCTTCTGAGTCAACTAATAATCCGCTCGAACAAAAAACGTTGTACTGCGGTTTCGAGGTGAAAAGATTACCTCATACTATGTAATAACCATCTTTAATAAAATCTGTTCACCGCCGACTCAATCAGGTATTCCTGAATTAATTTATGTCATAATTACGTGCAAATACCCTCAACAAAGAAAACGGAGAGGAAAGACACGATGTTTGAAGGAGAACAATTTAAAGACATTTCGTATTCCTCATACCTTTCTCTTTATACATGTATTACCAAAATATATCTATTTTGATATGATCTGAAATAGGTTGTTCCCTCCTCTTTCAAAATTAATTTCTCAAAAACTAACAACACGACTGAGAGCAAAAGCGCTCGAAAACCCGGCACGTTGGTTCCACTGGCGCATATTTGATTTTAGTCCTTATTCTTTTAAAATATCAGATACGTTTACCCTCAGTTAATTGCCCTGGTTTTATCTACGATTTCCATGAATAAAAACCCTCTTTTTTCGAAAAAATTCTAAACCTCCGAGAAGGGGAACCAGGGTCCTTCGCGCATTTGTTTGACCCATTGCAATCTGCTGCCGTGAAGTTTAAACCTCGTCCAAACGAGAATCTGAAAACACGCGCACGCGATAGGCACGTATACAAGTACATAAAAGCAGCCCCAGCGTAAAGTGCTATTTGCACTATCGTGGAAACTAGTTCTGTCGGTTGAAGAAGACGCCCAAAGATCGTCGGAGTAAAAGAGAGAATGGCCTGTTTGCTCCGCCAGAAGCCATGTTCCAATCAGAGGAGCTAGCGTTTGGCCAGGTTTAGAGAAGAGTGCAGAAGTTCCAAATATCAATGCTGATATAGCTTGTTTACGATTGTGAAGAACAAAGTCTTCGTCGACAAGATCACTGATAATCAGATTCAGTAGTTTGCATGTTCCTTCGGTGAAGACACGATTGCTGAAATGGAGAAAATACCAATCAGTCATCCCTTAAGTAAGGTGCACTTCCCGCTATAAGATAAACTGAATACAGATCTTAAGGTATTTGTTCCTAACGATGAACTTAAGTTAGTCAGTTTGAGAATAATTTTAATTGAGCTGCCTACACAAAAACAGAGGGACAGTGATCTAAATGCCATAGAGAGCGAATGAAAGGATTTTGGGTTCAAGGTCTTTGTAACGCAAGAGAACTTCATATCTAACACAATTTCTCAAAAACGGACTCTAAATAGGTAATAATAAGCCCTAAAACAAAATGCCGTTCTTGTTTTTCAACGTCTGCTCGGTCATAATGCAAACAAAGAAAAAAAACTTGATCAAGACTCCACAATACACCAAGAAGTTCCGTCAGTGACAACAAGATCTTACCTTGCTATGTAAAAACAAAGCAAGCCAGGCCAATTGGGACCGACCATAAGCATGATTACGCTTAGAGAGAGCTTGACGTAAAATAACCACTTTATTACAGTGTAGACGCCAAAGCGACGACACAGACCCAGGAAATATAAGTTGTTGATATGAGGGGCGACGAAGGACACGCCCAACAAAATGGCGCCTGTCTGAGGCGAAATTGAGTCTCCCAGTAATTTGTCGAGAAACAGGGGAAAGAAGTTACTGTTGAAATGGCAGTGAAACACCTGCAAGAGAGAAATCCAGTCAGGTTTAGCTCTACAACTCTAAAGGGTTACCTTACTTGAACTTCTTCACAACCTTTGCTCTTAAGGGGGCTGGATACAGTTTTCCTCAGCTCCAACTGGCTATATTAAGAACGCTCAAAAAACCACCTTTTCTTCGTCATTTACAGCCGAATTATTTCACACATTCGTCGACCAATGGATTGAAGTTCGAAATAGTGGGCGCGGCATGGCAATCGCCAATGTGCATGGCAAAATGTCAGTGTTATGGGGAAACTGCTAGGTTCGCTGACGATTTATCAGCTGCCACATGATGCTGTCAGTTACTAAGTAGCTATGAGTTTACTTGCACATTACGAGATAGGCTCTTGGCAAATCAGAGCACATGTTTCAGCTGGGTTAAATCAAGATGATTAAAATAAAAGTGAAATTACCGTATTCAAGAAATAGACCACCACCAACCCATTTCAAATTTATTTCCAGGCTCCTCACGACAAGAAGCGTCACTTATAATAAGCACCCTTTTTCACTCCCAAGATCTTCTTAGTAATTCTCCTTACCACCTGCCATACAATTCTTATGATGCAAGTTTGGAGAATTTCGTATCTGATCAACTAATAATCCTCTAATTGATATTTTTCCATATTCTCATCACTTGTCTGCTTGCCATTGTATTGCTATTGTGAGGAGAAAATCTGTCTTGGTCACTCATTGGACTGAAAGGATTAAAGCTCTTTTTTTTGTCTTTTTCTTTTCAATTAATGAAACCATTTTAGAGGGATGTGGAGAAACACTTCCTAATGAAGTTGATTTTATTAAGGTTGGATTGTACTTTGTGTTGTAGTTTGCGTACTTTATGCTGTGGGACTACTCACCTGTATTAAGTTCATAAGAGCAAACCAAATGAAGTTTGAATGATTCATCAATTGCTTGACAAAAATCTTTAGCTCAAGGGTCTGATCAGCATCTGAAACAGTGGATATTTGGACATCTTTCCTGTAAAAAAAAATTTCAAAGATGAAGTTAAAAATCAGAGTACATAAAAAACAACCAAATAGATAAATAAATGTACTATTAATACAAAAGCTGTGTCACTTGTCCCTGAAGTATTCTAACCATTCAGAGTAAAACAAAAAAGGGACCATATAGTGCATTGAAATTGAAATACAAAGTTTTAAGTTGACATCTGCCCATACAGAACATTTTGTCTGAGGATTGTTTCTTTCTTTGTGTCAAACATAAGTTACAACTCCCATCACAAACTTTCAAGTCTTTGTCTCAGAAAATGGTGATAGATCTGATCAAAGGGAGGTTAGAAAGGGAACCTGGTGTAGGAAGTTTGACCTCAAGGAAAAAGTTTGAACCAAAGGCTCTCTGCTACTCTTACGCTTCTTTTGTGCTTAGCAACCTCCTGCATGCATACATAACTCAATAATGTGCGCTGTGGCGTTTATCATCTGTTAAACGTTAGTTACATGTTGATATTGTAAATGGAATAAGAAAGATATTGTAACTGACAGGGTATTCTTTTTTTCTTTTTAGAGACTGTGCACCACAAGAAAAATTAACAGTACTTAATTCAGACTTGCCTTTCCTCTTGGTCAGGAGTGTCCACTTTAACTTTCTTAGTGGCAAAGTGCTTTTTAAGCAAAAAAGAACTGACCAGAAATCCAGTCAAGGAGAACATGGTGAGAATAGCACAAAATATATGAAACGGAACCATATTGTCTCTATCCCAAAACTGGTATGACAGGAACACAGACAATGAGCCACATCCACTGAACACTGAACAGTACCAGTTAAGAGTGGTGCGATCTTCTGACGACAAAGCCAAGTCAGCAAGCAATGCCAGATGGTTCAAGTCGATCATTGTTAGGAAACCATCATACAAACACAGACAGATAACAAACTGGATCGATGGATGACCCCAGCGGAACCATATGCATAAGAAAGATAGTGTAAACAGTGGTCCATACATTAAAAGTGACCTGTGCAATAAAAAAAGAAATTGTCTTTTATTAAGATTACATGATTATAGTTCAACAATGAATACCTGAAGGTGGGAAAGCAAGGGGGGAATATAGAGGGGTTGCTGAACATGGTGTTTGCTGAGAGCCTAGAGTATATAAACTGCCAGAATGACAGATGATTCCCCAACCAGTAACAAAGTCCAAGGTCACATGCTAAGCCTGTATCAAAATCCCTATAGCTAAACCCACACATCAATATTTCTCTCATTATAAAAATAATAATTATTATTATTTCTATTCAATAATAATCACTATTATGATCATCATCATTACTAGTATTGTTATCATCACTATCAACAATAATTAATGATATTAATATTAATATTATCATTATCACGAGCTGTATTTCTTTTCTTTATATTACATCTGCTCCTACAGAAATAAAACAGCATGAATAATTTAAAAAGATTTATCACTGAGTAAGCATCTCACCTAAAACGCTTTTGTATAATCTCTGATTGGCTCATGCCTGACCTTAAATAAGAACAAAAATTTTTCCTTTCTCAAGAAAATCATTGACAATTAAGAATCAATTTTCTTCTCAATCTGATACCCACTATTCACTTATATATGACATCAACTAAGGGGCCTTAACAATCAGTTGAGAAGCTCTCTTTGTTATGCTTAAATGACCTCCATACATATATGAAATATTACAGACAATCCTATTGCTCTCGCGGGAATTCACATCTAACTTCCCTGCCAATAAATTGTACCTTCATAATTCTATGATTCGTTAGCAATTGAACAGCTTAAAACCCAGGCCAGGTTCCATTTGTTCAAAGGATAGATAACGCTATCCACAGAAAAATTCTTTATTCCATGGATTAGATAGGATATTTTGTCAACTCTTATCCACTGGATAGGGCTTTATCTGTTTGATAGTGTTATCTGCTCTTTGAACAACTGGGCCAAGAATGATATGTACATCCTTATGCAATAATAAGCATAATTCTTTCACCAAAATATTTTCACATATATCACACAAGGTTTAATGAGAAATTGATTGTATTTAAGTGTAAACTTATTATTGCGAAGAGATCGAAGATATTCAAAATGTCTTAAAATGAAAGATACTTATCCACTTCAAATTGTATTTATTTTCACTGAGGGGTAAATCTAGTTTGAGTTTTGTAAAAAAAAAAAAAAAAAAGAGTTCTACGTCCAAGTATCTAGTAATAAAAGTAATTTGACTTTGGGTATAATTTAAGACTACGTCAAACTCAAATTGGAGCTCAGATAGTAAATATTACAGGGAAAGTAACTAACCCTTGAAGGGTTTAATAAATACAAACTTTAAAATATCTCTAACTTACTGATCCTTCCCGAGGGCTCTATGGTCACTCAGCCAGCCAAACAGTGGATCATTGAGAGAATTCCATACCAGAAATATTGCCTGAATTGACAAACCAGAGAAGATTAACTCGTTTCTAAAGAAAACAGCTGATACGACAGGCAATCAGTGCTATTACTGGCAGAAATTCCCTTCTTACACCTGAAATTTTTGCCCTTAATCTTTCTCTGAACGAGGCAAATTTACTAATCACGAAGTTGAAGTCTTGGTATGGTAAAAATATTCAAATGAAATCAAATAATCAAAAACCATTCACATAGAAAGAGTAGAAATATAACTTTTAACACTTACAATTTAACCTTGAAAATCTGATCGATTTCCCATATCCAATTATTAAAAGTCTACCTGATTCTACATTTGAGCAAACCTTCAAATTTTAGAAACCACCGTACGATCATAATATTTGGATGGTAAACTTATTTGGGGTACGAGATTTTATTGATTGTTCGTAGTCTGATTTTGTAAAAACAAAACAAACCAAAACCTATGTTATTCATGTGACAAAATATCAACTTACTTTGAATTAGCATGACAGTACAAAACGGAAATTCTTACCTCTCCGAGCCAAAAGGAATTGCGATCGATTTTGTAAACGGAAACAAATATGTCGACGTAATACAGAAGGAAAACATTATGGAGAATCGCTATGAAAAGTGACATGGAACCATACGCTAAACGGACTGCAAGTGCCTTATGGTACATTTTGTTCGCTAGATAATCAAAATAAATAACTTCCTCCCGTTCTAAGCCATTAAAATTATAAACTACTGGTGTTCGCGATCTCCCTATAAAACATTTATGGGTTATGACTTATTGGAAGTTGCTGAGTAAATATTGCCAGGCTACTAAGCTAAATCGTTCTGAGGGGAACAAAATTTTGAAGGGGGAGTGGGGGAGGAGGCGGAAGGGTGGATGGTCTACTGTAGTACTGTGGATGAAATCAAGACTTGGCTTATCAAAGAACTGGGTGAGAATATGTAATTTAACTTACCAAACCATCTGAGAACTTTGACTTTTAAAATCACCCCATTCAAAGCCCTTTGATGATAAAAGAATTGTCACAATACTTTGCCTTTATTCTGTGCGCCAGAAAAACTTGATGTTCAAATTTAAGGGAACAGCAAAATTTGCACACATTTTTTGGGAAAAAATTTTAAGAGCCAATAAAAATACATAGGAAAACTGCAAGTTATTGACAAGGAAATGACTCGTAATGGGGTAAAATCCAAGGTAATAAGCCAATATGATTGGCAGAAAATGTTAAAGCGCGTGAGAGTTGCGTGAAAACTTATTAACAATAGAATTAAGCGTAATGTGAAAATTTTTGGGGGGGTTAGGATTAGGTTGTAAAATTTTGGCTGTTCACTGGAAAATGTCATTTTATAGTGGAAAGCTTAATCAATAATGGCAAGTAAACACATAATGCTACGGGAAAATACTGTCAAAAAATGATGTAATTCATAGATAACTTCTAAAAGCAAAGAAACGGATATTGACATGGGACTCCCATGATGGGAGGCCGAACATAGATGATTTTTTCGACCTTAGCCAAAAAACAACTAAAAGGCAAAGACAAGTTTATCGATCAAAGATGCTTTATACAAATGTTTTGCGCAAATTTTAGTAGAGCCAGCAAAACTAGCCCTTCCAAACAAACGCTCCACTTATAACTTCGTGTTAGGCCTTTTGCTGACTGCGTGTACATTGTAAGTGAAGGGGCGGTACAAAAAACACGCTCTAAAATTTAAATTGTAAAGAGATTACCTACCAACCTTTCTAACCCCGGAAGATCATAGCGACAAAGTCCTCACGAAGTAGATGAACTATTACACTGGGTAGATGAGATGAGTTCACTATTCTTTTGCAAACATGCCCCAATTCTGTGATTTGATTGGTGCGAGATACCAGGGGCGGATCCAGGAATTTTTGATTGGGGGGTCCAAACTTTGGTTCAGAAAGGACTGTTGGACTCATTTGAGGCAAATTACTTCTCCCCACACCCCCCACACACCCCCTCCCACCAGTCGTGGTTGCACGTTATAATTCCTTGGCCGCTTACCGTTTACTTGGATTCATTAATTTAAAAAATCAGCCAGTTAAAAAGTGATATACGATCCTTCGGATGTAAGAATTTCAGTCTCAAAGTTGTAAGGGTCAGGTCTGATATGGGGGGGGGGGTCCGGAGCCCCCGGACCCTCCCCCTGGATCCACCACGGGATACATACCCTAATGCTGCGAAAAGGAACACAATCGTTCTTGACATTTTTTCTTTGGGTTGCATTGCTACCTTTTATTAAATGCGTGAGCATTAAATGCGTGAGCATTTTTATTAAATGCGTGAGCATTTGACACGTTGCTTAGAGCCTGGTTTCCCACTGAGAACGTGAGATTACAATTCATGTAACCCATAACGCGACACAAGTCGAAACGTTGGTCTTGTTGACATTTTTGGCAGATAGGAACATATAATTGTATTTTTATGATGAACTATGCGAACAACTTCCATTGAATAGAAAACCATTTGGGGAAAAATGTTGTATTGATCACTCGTAAAATTATTTAGGAATTATTTGTCTGTGTCAAGAATCAATGGAACGTTGACAAGAAGTTTGTATTACGAAACATGATGATTTTATGATGGAGAATAAACTTGAAAATAGTTATACTTCGTAGAAAGAGGGATCCCAATCAGTGAAGAGGTCCATATCCGCGAATTTGGACCGGAGAGTATCTAAATCCGCTGTCACAACCGGCAGCAAAAATGCGTTGTCCACACGACAAAATAGAACGAATAACTACTTTATTAATGATAATGTTTATTATGTATTTAAAAAAGATCTTTCACACAAATATAGTTTTCTAGGGATTTCTTTCAGCTAAGCTTTCGTAAGTAAGTAAGAAATGGTAAACCTACCCTGCAATATCATTTACTTATTTTTTTAAATTTAATTTGAGAATGAAGCTATTTCAAAAGAAAATGGATTTCCAAGACTTTGAGTATCTAAAATCTTTAATAAAAATGCAATTTCCACCAGTTTTTTGTTTTTAGTATCTGGCTCAAAAATACTATTTGCATAGGAAAGGCATGAAAACTGACCTGGTTAACAGGCTTTAAACAGGCTCACAACTAACCAACAACTCAAGTCCAGTCTTTCCCTTTCCCGACAGTTCTCAATCGATCGAGGGTGCTCAGGTGCGCCCGCAATCCTTTCCGGAGTCGTAGGCGTACCGGAACCGACAGTTAGAGACTAAGCCTTCATTTTAATCTAGCTACCTCATGGGAACGTGATAATATAGAAAATTTTCCGAGTAAAATGTAAACTCACTCCAAGAGCACGATTAACTATGAAAATTTCTTTGACTTTGTGAGCATGATTGAAACTAATAGTTACACTCGATACTTTAAATGATAGATAAAATGTTTATATCTTAACCTGAATAGGGACTCAAAAGCTTTCAAGAAATTGACATTAAATTCAATTTTGCATGGTAAATAAGTGAATAAATTATTGATCAAGCTTTTCACTGGAGGTTTGGTATGATTCTCAATATGATCGTACTGTTTTGTTTGTTTCACCAGGGAAACCTGTCAAGAGAAAATAAAGCTACGATTGGCTCTGTCAATAACAAATTTCGATACAAACCTGTTACTGACCTCATTTTCTGGGTTCGAACTGTAAGTTACAGACCGAATTTTTTTTCTGTTCGGATTTATAGCCCAAGTGTGAAACTGGGATAATTACGATAACTATAGGTTCAAATAGAACAATATTTGAATCTGTTGTCCTATACAGTGAAATGTGGCCCGCTAAATTGATCAACCATAGCGAACGTACAACCTGTTGTTCAATTATTTAAAATTTTGGTCTCTAAAATTTTAACCATGATATTGTTCTTTCTTAACCAGATTTGAATGAAAAGCTTCCATTTAAAGTGATCCAGGAGTCTCCAAGTCACATTCCCAACTTTCTTCTGAGATAAAAATCCAAAATGGCAGATGATTACTTACGCCTACCCAGAGGCCCTATTCCTAGCTCCCTCAGGGTACCCCCCGCCCTTAATATCCTTGGATTGATTGTCACTTTATAAAGTGTTTGGTTTTTTACCGATGATGAATTAAGGGTTTGGTGCTGTAATTCGCCGTGCAATATATCTTAAAATTCAAAGTATCTTAACTTCGTTACGTGTTTACCTGTTAATTTGGCAAATTCTGTGGCATTCCTGGCAAACGTTAACTTCTCCGTGACTCGCACACTGCGACAAAAATTCAATAAAAAGTTTACTTGTAGTGCTTTTGAACCATTCTCTTCACCGCAAATGGATTCTTAGTTTCAAACTTAGAGATTAACAAATTGCACCAAGAGCTGTAATATTACAACAAATAGAAAATGAGTTTCGCTTACCTAAAAAATTTCTCGCTCTCATCCTTTACTGATGTCTGGGCGAACCAGGAAGGTTTACACAGAACAATACGGAGAACTTGATTGTCAAAGCTATCAAAAGATCAAACGCAGTTTATAGTGATGTTTTTCGTGGAAGCTGGGAGATGGATAGAATGCTTAGTAAGATGATGGAACAGCGAATATTATATTTTAATTTGGTACTGACTTTTCTAGTCGTAGATCTATAGTGGAAACGTTGCATCTTATTACCAATGACAGGAACTGGCAGTTCTCAACAAAAACTTTGCCAGAAGGCACCCGGGGTGCCTTTTTCGGAACTTGAAGTTCAATCAGTTCACGTATAGTCTAAAACAAAACTCGATTCTTACAAAATTTGGGAAAAATCCTTATCCTAAGAAACTTGATTGTCTCAAAACTCACCGACTGCAAATCCTGTCAAGGATTTCTCCGCTCCATTCAGACAGGTATGTTGTGCTGTTGTCTGAATTCTTGTACACTATTATGATAGGCTCCTTTGAACCTTTAAGCACTGTGGCAATAGCATCTGGGATACAACTGTATTAACAACAGGGAAGGAAACAAAACCAAAATGACACCATGTTCCAACTGGAAATCGTTCCTAAAGAAAAACACTTTGGGCTAGATATTGTGATTTCTGGCAAATCACCAGCGACTTGTTTGGAATTAACCCCACTAATGAAAACCTACCTCTGAATCAGAAGTTTTTTCCAGTTTTTAAGTACCGCTCCCCTTCAGGGCTAGGAGGCTGATATTTTATTCTTGAACCCAATGTCATCTTTGAAACCAATGGATTATAGATGCAATATAACTTAGAACATTTTCCCATCACAGGCGTCCCCCCTCCGCCTCTCCTTCCCCCTTCCCCTCCCCTT